CGTTCCCCAATGTGCACACATTTTGACTGCACTGACCGACCTGCTGAAAAGTAAATGTAAAACTTTCAGCTTGACTCCTGAGGCACTAGAAGCATTTCGCAAGATCAAAACCGCAATAGCAGACGCCACGATGCTGGTGCATCAAGACGTAAACCTACCTCTTAGCATTGCGGTTGACGCCTCTAACACGGCCATTGGAGCTGTGTTGCAACAACTTTCGGATCACACTTGGATCCCAGTTGCATTCTTCTCCGGAAGTTATCCACCTGCGAAATGCGGTACAGCACTTTCGGCAGGGAACTGCTCGCCATATATGCCTCAGTGAAACATTTTCGTCATTTTGTGGAAGGTCGTGACTTCATCATCTTTACCGACCATAAACCTCTGACGTATGCCTTACACACCACTACTGACAGATATTCACCGCGTGAATTACGTCACCTAGATTATATTTCGCAATTCACGTCGGACATCCGTCATATTTCTGGTGTGAATAACCCTGTCGCGGACGCACTGTCTCGCGTTTGCACCACTATTTGCCTCGAGCAGTCGACTTACGGAAGATTGCCGAACTTCAGGATTCAGACGAGGAGATTGAAAAACTTCAACACTCATCCTCTCTGAAGATACAGCGTTACCGCTCCTGAACAGTGAAGTGTCAATATTGTGCGACACCTCCACAGGCACACCCAGACCCTTGCCGCCGGACTCCCTAACAGACTCGTTTAGTCGCGCGTATCCTGAACCTTCTAAAAGAGCCACGTCTAGTAACACTGATCCAGTAACCTCTACACGTGCTGGGAGGCGTGTACATTGGCCCAAGCGATACGCCGAGTTCGTTAATTAGCCCCAGAGCAACTTCACACTTGGTGAATTCGGAGTTTCAACTACTTTGTCGTGGCATACACTTTCAATGCGTTTTCAAAAGTCATGTTTACTACTTTGCAAACAGTTTTTTTTTCAAAAAAAAAAAGAAAAACCAAAAATACAATTTAAATTCCGAAAACTTTTTTTTGGTTGGTTATTTTTTTTTCTGTACTACTCCCACTTCGAATTGTTTGGTTTTCCTTTTCTTAGCACTCTAATGTCCCATTTCTTTCTTCTTGCAGAACCTAGAAAATGCGTTGAAAATTGGATACAATTGGCCGCTGACGATGCTACTTGGATCGTTCTTCGGTTCTCTTTGTACCAATTTCCCCCTGTACACCCCCCGGTAGATTAAGAAGCAATAGGGAAAAGTAGACGGAGGCTTTGGGTCACCTTCCACCACTGCGAGAAGGGTTGCGTCTAGACGCAAAGTTATCTTACCTCGTAGGTGTGCATAGTTGCACTAGCTTCGGAGACCCACACGTCACCTACTCCATCACCAATATGGAAAGGTGTTGCGTGTCCGCCTCGCAGTCGCCTCCTAGGATCGAAGGTTGCCGGTATCCCAACAACCTTCTAGGAGGGGGATAACCTGTAGTGCACCTTCCTGGCACCAAAATATAACTAGGGCTAAAATAAATAGTTTAAATTAAATTAACTAAATAAATCTCTAGCTTGCCTCCGGATGCTTAGGGTGTTTTAAGTTTTGTTTTAACGAGCATGCATCCGAGCAGGCTTGGACGCCATTTTTGCGCTCCATTGTGCTGATCACCACGCACGTACTCCGAGTCCCTAGTTCAGCCTTACAAGCCAGATAAGTTGATTAAACTTTTCCCTCATTCATTATTATTACATTTACCTTAAATACATTGCGTATCAGTTCTTTTGATTTGTGTTTTGTTACCAGTACTTACACGTTAGGTAAAGTACTGGTTAAGCAGGTACTAGAGCACATCAAATTAAGTAGGGTTGATCAAACGTTACGGAATTGTAACACGCATCCCTACAATTTCAACTTCAAGAGATTCAGTGATTTTGGGCACCTTGTCCAATGACTGTTTAACATTAACGAAGAGGATGGTTATGAATTGGCTATGAGAGTGCTTCCTTGCGACTTCGTTAGGGTAGGCAAGAAAGCAGGTCGCGCGTATGTGGTCTTCCAGGAGACCACGTTGTGTTGGAGGAAGTAATTGATAAGTTGTCACGTAGTCGACAGCTTTCTTCACAATCCCGTTTTTCGTAGTTCTGGGTACTGCTGGCATAATGAGTCGAATGTTGGTCCATATTCATGCCTGCAAGATGCAAATGAAAACCTCCAGCGCTCAGGGTGATTGCCAACGCAGAGGGCGTGTCAAAGAGTTCCACAGAGAGATCAGCGGCATATCTTCGCCACCCACTGCCACCAAGATTCCATTAGACCTAGAATTGTATGAGGCTCATAGCGATGCCATCGCAAGGGAAATGTTTTGTTGAGTGTAGAGCACACTGCTTATGGAGTGAACTGACCTTGATGACTTACCAAAGACTCCTATTTCATTCTGGCGTGTAAAGGAGGCGGCAACTGGTAGCTAAGCAGCTTGTAAGTTTGTAGTGGTTCCTAATGGTCCGTAGAAGTTCCTGTTACCCTTGGATGAACTGGTAGTATTTATTCTAGAGCCGCTTGTTTGAGATTTCCTCAATTTCAGTAATGACTGAATAATACTGATTTCGTTGCAGTAAGCACATACTTGTTTAACAGTTTCTAGTAACTTATCACCCTAAATGTATCGGTGTGATAAGCGACGAATAACTATCTTAATTACAAAACCCTTGGGCATAATTGTGCATGCGACTGTGTACTCTCCCAGAACTACATTCAATTTTGAACCAACGTATTCATGGCTTCTGCCTGTATACTAATAGAATGAATCACAGAGTTCTTCGACTGAACTCCTGACAATGTAAGGACCTCAATCTAGGTGGAGTGGAAATGATAGTAGTTTGTCCGACTTAGCGTATTTATAGCTTATAGATAGAACTTTTCTTGTATTTTAGGCTCAGTTGGCGCTAGATATGTTGGAGTCGCCGAACAAGGCGGTGCTTGGTAGGTTGTATTGCATGCTGTTTGCAACCCTATTTCCAGAGTAATTTTAAAATTCCCGAAGCGATTTAGAGGGTTGTTTGGTTGCCAAGTTATATCAGACGCGTCAAAGTAGTATTGACGCCACATTGGCTAACGGGCTTAATAACTTCCCGTCGTACTCCATTGAGGAGTAAGACAGTCGGTACATCGGCTCAACAAGGACAGAGATTGGGTGTGGAAGCTTTTGCAAAGACATATGCGAAGTCATCGATGTCACTAGGTTGTGAGGTTGAGTATTGTGTAGCAATCATTTTGTAGCGTCACACACTTCCCCAAAATCAATAGCCTAGGGTTTGACGACTTTCGACATTGATGCTGACCTTGACAGTTTAACTGGACTCGCTAAGCTGAAGGCACCCGGTCAAGCATCCTCGCCATTTGGCACGCTGTCGTGTTACGTTGCACTGCTCGTATTCGACTCTCTAGCCAGTCAGTTGGAACGCATCGGTGTTTTGGCACAACCATCCAAATATACTATTCCATCCGAGTACGCTATCGTGTTCTTCCTTGGTCTCGTATTCGTGGGTATATAACAAGTCCGAATAATTATTGATTGGTCTTTGCGTCTGTCAAGTTCGCACCAGGACAAATCTTAAAATGTCAGACTCTGTCCCTCCTCCTTTACCATGTAGTTTGTCTCTCATGTACGAAAAACAGTTGTCGTTGAAGATGTCCACGTCAAAAGTGTTAGAAGTAAACCAAAGTTCTGTAACATTTATCACGGACAGATCCTATATCAGAGATTACGGTATAGTGTTTCAATTTGCTGCCTATAGAGCGGGTGCCAATCACGCAAAATCAATAAAAAATAGGGATAAATTGTTACTATCTATATCTTCATCCAAATCTGAGACTACATACTGAGAAAGTGCGATCTAGCGTCATAATGACATGCTTACTAGCGATTGCATATCTGATGAGCTTTCGACACAACCAACCTGTTACCCTTATGCTTCTTGTGAGCTCTTTGTTCTAAAAAACACTCAGATCTTACAAGTTCTGTACTCCTTATGTTCTTACTTAACCATTAGTTTTTCTTGCAATAATCACTTGTCTGGCCTTAACGCAAGTGTTGAGTTTGGTGTGTTTAAGTACCTCATGATCCTTTTCATTTGGCATCCATGCTTCGCTATTGCAATATCCAATATCTACAAACTCTTATGAAACTGCTGCCACGATGCAGATACTCTACTCCTTTGGGCTAATTAATAATCATAAGATACGCAATAGATCAGACCTAAGGTGTGGTGTTGAATAATTATGTTATGTGCATATTCTCGCCTCTTTCTACATTAAAAGTAAATTATTTACATAAACGTATGTCACGTTTGCCTCATATTCCTTTTCTAGACAATCTGAACGCAACTCATCCTCGTGAAGTTTTGTCATGTACATAAGCTTTGAATCCATCCAAATCAACATAGGATCAGGCATTACTGCATAACGGTCCGAGTTGCCACAGCACATATCAGTACATCAAGGATACTTATTATCTTTTTGGTTTTTTACCATAATTCTCTTTCCAATTAGTTCCTAATCAATGGCTGTACACTACAGAAAAGCATTTTCAAAACATAAAATTACATAGCAATCTAGTGGTGAGAGTTGTTTAATGAGAGGTTATCAATCTCAAAGTATCAAGAAGGTGATAATTGACCAGGTAATTAAGACAATTAACTACAGCATAGGTTAATCATAGTAGAAAGATTTTGTGAAATTTTAAACAGGTTCTTAAATAACTGATATTGAGTATAATGGTAACTAAAGAGCGAAAATGTATTGTTTCGTAAAAAGTTAAATTATTGTTGCTTTCGCCCTTTAGTTACCATTATACTGCATATCAATATGTAAGAACCTGTTTAAAATTTCACAAAGTCTTTCTACTATAATTAACCTGAGCTGTAAATAATTGTCTTAATTACCTGATCAATTATCACCTTCTTGATACTTTGAGATTGATAACCTCTCATTAAACAACTCTCACCACTAGATTGCTATGTAATTTTGTTTTGAAAATGCTTTTCTGTAGTGTACAGCCATTGATGAGAAACTAATTGGAAAAAATATTTCTTCGCTCACATCGTCTTACTAAATGTCGAAATGGGAATTTCAGAATTACTTTAATTCTGTTTACGCAGATCTGCTGATTATTTTTAGGGGGGAGGAGCTGTACTAGACAGTTGCCAAAGTGGCATAAATATATAGTCAGGCTTGTAAACAGGCGTGTTTGGTTTGCGAGAATAAACTATCATTAATATTAGTGTGACTTATTGCAGATATTCTGAAGGCGCCACTTTTACTGAAAAAAAGAATGGAGGATTGTTGATCTATAAAAGGAGAGCTTAAATGTCGCGTTTTAATCCTAGCGTAACTATTCGCAGCAAATAGTGCTGAAAACATCCTTTAGTGAGTAATGCTTTGTCACTGTGTGCTGTACCTTTACCTTTCACTCGTCTTCAATGTGCTACTCCAATTCACTTTTACAGTCAGTGGTGAGTTTCGGTTTGAACACAGCAGTTGTTACGATCTATGAGACCACTCCTACAGATTTCCTATTGAAGCGAAGTTCTTCCAACCTCCAAATTTAGTCGGTCACTAATAAAATTCTTATCATCTGGCAACTTATCAGGCTTACTGTGTGCGCAAACGCCATCCTCTATGACACTGTGTGTACTACACCCACTCAATGTCTAATGAGACATCTACCACAACTGCACTGCCGTTTCATAAAAAACGATTAGGTGACTTCTATAAATTTCCACCGCATACTAAATGCACATTCCCCTCTACTCGACATAGTAAGCATAAATAAAAGTCGTAAACTATGTGATAGGATGAAATTGATGTTTTTAGGTGTTTTGTGTCGAAAGCACCCAGTCAAACAAGAATGTGTAAATAATACGGTGAACTGTGTTAATAATGCGAGTGAGGCCGAAATAATGGGAATTCTACCCAAAACTTTCAGTGCTGAAATTATGCGGGAAGTGATGATAAATTACTAGATGCGTGTGGCGTAGTTTAGCTGCACCTTATAAACCACCAAAATTTTGTTTTCGTTTTAAGTCATTAATGATTTCTGACTTATGAATTAAAAATATTTTAAATTACAATAAATGTTAGCCTGCTATAGTGAAGTTGTTCAACTGCTTAAGGAGTAACGGTTGCCATCACTTTGGGGTGTACACAGTGGAGATGAGTTGCCGTTGTATGTCTCGGTGACGATTATGCACCATTTAGCATTCTAATGTTATTGAAAAAATGTCTTACTACAGACATCGACGGCGTCTATTAATGAAGGGTATCGTCTGGTAGAATGCGTTTACCAGTACACTGTCAACTTCATACTTTTTATCGACGTCATAAAAGGTTATTCGACTCCATTTATGTCAAGTTGTGTATACCGGACGTCCTTTGACGTCTGTTGCAGCAGCAGTTGGTAAAATGCCTTATTGTTCTATTAATATGTACTAGAAGTATCAAAGGGCGCCTCTAACACTGTTGCAGCGTCATGTTCATTTGTGAAACCTAAAATCGCTCCCAATGAAGCTGCTAAAGACATCACAGTCATACCAAGCACAGAGTGGGAGTGTATCCGATAAAGTCATAAGAATGCTGCTGCTGCAGATAGAATGCTGCTTTATCTAAATCGGATTAGTTCCCCACACCCTAACTAATGTGCGAGGATTGCTGAAAGAAGTAGTACTTGTGAGTCACCATTTCTAGAACATGGAAGTAGTGCTTGGAATCTGCAAAAGCAGATGAAACGGAAGTGGATTCTCCAAACTGTCAACTGCAGAGGAGTCAATAATCTACTCCGATATTGTCACCCAGACGACAGTCACAAGCACACTGAGTTTTCCAGTGGCTATCATGATGTCCTCAACCACATTGTAGGATCTCATGCAGTGGGAACCAGTCTACTCCAGGATCAAGATCATGACAGCAAGATTCAAATCAAAAGGAAGGAAAGTCACAATCATACAATGCCACGCTACGCTAAGCACCTGCAAATAATGCGGATCAAGAGAAGAAGGAGGAATTCTAAAGACAACTACAATCACTAATCGACAAGACCCCATTCCAGATGACAACATCAAAATCCATTCTAACAGGTGACATGAATGCCAAACTAGGAGCAGGCAACACAGGAAGATAACTCATCATCGGTCGAAAGGCAATCGGTGAGATGGTGAATCAGAATGGAGAACTCTTTGAAGACTTCTGTGCACTCAACGATTTGGTGGTTGCAGGCACTGTGCACAAACACAAGGATATTCACAAAGTGACATGGATTTCACCAGACACCTGGACACACCACACTAAAGATCAGATCGACTTCATTTCAATCTCAAGAAACTGGAGACAAAGCCAGCCTACTGGGCGCAAACAAGATGAACAAGAGGAGCAGATGTAGGTTCACACCACTCACTATCTAGTTCAAGGAACTTACCTTCAAAATCAAGTTGAAAGCTTTCAAAGAAGCTGGTGATGATAGACCACAGTTCAAATTCAACACCCAGAACAGAAACTGAAGCACGAAACTACAAAGAACATCTTCACGTCAGGGAGTCATCAGGAAAAATGGGAGACATTAAGCAGTATTTCTAAAGAAATTGACGTGAAAGAACAATGGATCTCCTAGAGAGATATGGAAAGAAAAGTGCAAAACCGTAATAAGAAGGAAGAAACAAGACAAGGAATGGATCTCGACGGACACATGGAAGCTGATAGAGAAGGGAGAGGAAGGTGGTGAAGCAGATGGAGCAGTGCAGTGCAGAGATGAACAACGAAAAGAGGGACTGAACACAACCTATAAAATATTGGATAAAGAAGTGAAGAGGAGTGGGTGCAAAGACAAAAGACACTTCTACGACAAACTGGTAAGTGAAGTTGAACAGCTGCTGGTAGGCGAGACCTGACACTATATAAGACAACCAGGTTACTATCTGGGAAGAGATCAACACAGATGAAACCAATAAAGGATAGTGAAGGAAACCCAGTTACCAAAGATGAGAAACAAAGGAAACGATGGGCTAACTTCAAAAGCTCTTGAATCGACCACCACCACCACGTACAACTCGTTCAGGAATACCACTAGCAGTTGCAGAACTATCGGTGAATACAAACCCTCAAAACAATGTATATGTACTGCAAAGTGATATTTTTCTGCCCTTTTCATAACTGTTAGACACTTCATATCATAATGGAGTTTAGTGTCCTCCCTTCTGTACCATTCAACGCTGCTCAACTCTAGGATTTCTCTACCATTATCAATTTGGTGATGCTTGTAAACCGGCTTCTCTTACTGTTAAGTTCATAACCTGAGAATAAAATATCTGTTTGTTCATAAAACCAGAAGTCCTGAACTCCATAAAGTTGCTGAAAGCCAGGGTAGCAGCAGGTTTAGATGGAATACCTCCAGAAGCACTGAAAATGGATGCAGAGACATCAGCGGACATGCTCATACCACTATTGCGGAAGGTTCGCAAGGAAAGGTACCTGCTGATTGGAAGAAGGGCTACCTTGTCAAACTACCAAAGTAGAGTGGTCTAAGTCTTTGCAAGAACTAGCGCGGAATCATGCTCCTATCCATCCCATTCAAAGTATTGAGCCACACCATTCTGGAGAGACTAAAAAATACTCTGCATTCAAAATCACGAATAGAACAGGCTGGCTTCAGGAAAAACAAATCATGTGCGGATCAAGTTGTAACACTACGCTATAAATCATCATAAAATATAGCATAGGATGGCAGTCAACTGTATCCGTATCTCAGCTATATGCACTTTAAAAAGACCTTCGATAGCGTGGACTGAGAAGTAATTGGCAGCTGCTTCAACACTACGGTTTTAGTGCCACAAGTGATTCACAATGAAAAGCTCGGTGATGCCTTTGAAGTGAAGACAGGAGTAAGACAAGGCTTCCGACTATCATCACCGATGATCTTCCTGATTGCGGTCGACTCGACTGAACTACATCATGCAACAAACTGTGAGGAGCGAGAAAAGGGTATGTGCTGCTTGGTGGATGAAAACACCCCAGAAGAAGATTTGGATTTCGCAGGTGACGATTTATGTCAAATAACCTGTAGCACAAACTCGAAAATCTACAGGCGAAAAGTAACAAGTTGGTAGAACAGGCAGAGAAGACGGGACTTCAGGTGAACGTAGAGAAGACAGAGGTTATGAAGATGCCTAAACAACAACAAGCACCCATCACCATCAACAGAAGAAAGCTAAAGAAATAGACCTACCCAGGCAGCATCGTTTCAACAACAGGCGACGGTACAGGTGAGGATGTCAAAGCCGGGATAGAGAAGACAGCAAGACAGGCCTTCCTACATTAATCTGAAATCACTGTGTAAATCTACTGCACTCCAGCCAGCATAAGGAACAAGATGCAGATTTTAAAAGCTAATTCAGTCAAGTCAGTGCTTTTATGTGGTGGTTGAGAGACTTGGCGTGTTGTGATAAGCACTTCCAAAAAATGCAGACATTCATCAACGGCTGCCGCCTACGTTCACTCTACACTGAAGACTAGATCAGATGGCCAGAATAATAAGAATAAGCAACAAGGAACTCACTCTGACTGCCTACGAACCAACCAAGAAACATCGCCCAAAAAGTATGCATAATAAAGTGGAGATGGATTGGACATACTAAGAAGACTGTTTGGAGACATTACGTCCCAGGCCGGCGAGTGCAAACCAAATGGGAAATGACGAGTTGAGCGTCCGCGGGTGACGTGGAGGAGATCGCGTGAGGAAGAAGTGAAAGCTTATGGTAACAGAAAACAGACATGGTTATATTCAGCTTATATATACGTAAAATCCACAGTACTATTCAATCGTTATACAATATAAGACCAAAAGGTACCCCAACAATGCCGCCTTGCCACTGTTCAGTTAGCTATAAGTTTTTTTGATTCAGAGTATCAACCGGATAGCTGAATATGTCAGTAGTTGATGAAGACCACATACTCAAAACAAAGTTAAAGTGTTCACAACAAAAAGAAGCAAAAACATTTACCTGTAAGAGTCAGAACGAACACCAGGAATGTCTACAGATGATCTAATCAAAGCCATAACATTAATGGCCTTTCACACCGCCTTAATCTGGGAAAACCGACAGTGAAAGTGAAACAAAACTTTGAACGTGGCAGATTACAGTTGAATAAACTGGATTATCCAAGACAAATCCAAATATGTTGTTATCAAAATTAAGAAACCAATATCTGCACTCATGTCGGTTTCAGCAACACTGGGAGTGAGAAAACAGGACAATAACGTTATGTTCCAATACAAAAAATAGAACAGTAAACGCAAGTATAACTTTAAAGGTCATGCAGGAGGGATTTTCCTCTTATTTAGCGCTACAGATGGCGGATAGATCCCCAAGCCTCACTTCTCGCAGATGAAGGGAAATGTCTAGATAGCTTTTTCACCGGCCAGCTGCAACTGTCATTTCTACTGATTCAATATAGACGCGTTCCAAGACGTTAACGTACATGTGAGATAAGGCATCTACTGCCTCATTTTCGCAGCCTTCAACCTCATATATCTGAAGTGAATTATCAAATAAGTTCCCAATGCCAAAATCCTTGAGATGAACAGTTGTCTTGCTCTGCGTCAATCGCTTCTGTGAGTCATACGGTTGGTAAACATTGTGAAAGCGTACCCTTCTGGTATGTATCTAAAGCGCTTGGCAGCCGAACAAATCGTCAGTAGCCCCACCAAGTATGGTAAGACATAACATAAAATTCCTCCCTTTCAAAAAGTCTTCGAATTATATCATGTTCCCACGAACCTTTTTAAGATGTTTTTAAACTGTTGTTTATCAAACTAGGAAAGATCAAACAAAAAGCTTCGCACGAGTTGGAAACGGACACAGAAATGCCCAAAAACACAGTGCAGTCCTGTTACTAGAATACCGATATTGAATAGTGGACTATTGTACTGGGTGAATAAAGCTACACTCCACCTCGAATTGTTTTCCGAGTCCGGACCGGACGGTAATGTAACAGCAGCTGCGCGTTTCACATCAATCTCCTAGATGCTGTTGTCATTAATATCACCATTCAGGAGCAATATTTATTTCCGCTCAAAATATTTTCCGGGAGCGTACTTATCAAAGTTTTTTAGGATTTGTCCTGGTGCGAACTTGACAGACGCAAAGACCAATCAATAATTATTCGGACTTGTTATATACCCACGAATACGAGACCAAGGAAGAACACGATAGCGTACTCGGATGGAATAGTATATTTGGATGGTTGTGCCAAAACACCGATGCGTTCCAACTAACTGGCTAGAGAGTCGAATACGAGCAATGCAACGTAACACGACAGCGTGCCAAATGGCGAGGATGCTTGACCGGGTGCCTTCAGCTTAGCGAGTCCAGTTAAACTATCAAGGTCAGCATCAATGTCGAAAGTCGTCAAACCCTAGGCTATTGATTTTGGGGAAGTGTGTGACGCTACAGATCACTCTCCCCCTAGTGGGTTCGTGAGGACCCTAAGACGATACCAGCCGGAAGTAAAAACCCAGTGGTTTCTCCACTGGTAAAACTCTTCCGATGGGCTCACTGCGTGAGGTGGCCCCTGGTTGTCTGAACTTATTCTAGGGTGTCGTGGCAATTAAATAATAAAATACAATAAATCGAATTGTACGTCGGTCTCGGTCGTTGCTCCTTTCGACGTTCCGTCCAGTGCTCGTTGCACCTGGAATATAAATAAAAGTCTTTAATACCACGAAAACGTTGCGTAAAAATGGGAATTATTTATATATAAACATATCGAAAAATAAAAATTTACGCTTATCTTCACCGTTTTTTTAAAAGTTTCATTACATGGTAAGAAAAATTGAAAAAAAAGGCAAAGTGTACGAGGGTTTGTATTGATGTATCGGGTAGCAGTCCGGAGTTGTTTTGGCGTTGAGCCTTCGGTAATCACCGGTTGGACGCCAGTCGTTGCTATCCTTCTTGGGAACCATGTGCAATGGCGATGCCCAAGGACTGTTGGACGGTCTGATAATGCCCAGGTCGAGCATGTGGTCGAATTCGCTCTTCGCTGTTTTGAGCTTATCGGGGGCTAAACGGCGCGCTTTGGATGCCACAGGTGGACCTGTGGTTGTGACGTGATGCATAACATTGCTGGTTATGCACGGAAGAGTGTGCTTCGGTTGCTGTAACTCTGGATATTTCTCCAGAACTGCCTGGTAGGACGCGTCGCCTGATTGTTTAGTCCTAACGATGGCTAAACTCGGACCTACATAGGTGGTGCCGCCAATAGATAACTTTGTGTTGTTATCTATCAGTCGTCGACGGCGAGCATCTACGAGTAGATCGTAATGGTTGAACATATCTATGCCAATGATGGGCATAGAAAAATCAGCCGGGAGGAAGATTCAGAGGTAGGCATACTGTCTCCCGAATGTCGCGATTGCCTTGCCGTTGGCTGCTTGAAGATTGAAGGATGGGTCAAGATGACGCTCCTTTGTCGTTGCTGGAAGAACACTAACTTCTGCGCCGGTGTCGACGAGGTAGCGGACTTTCGTTTTAACGTCGGTGACGTAGAGCAAACGGCTTTTTCCGCCGGCTACGGTTGCCGTGAGCACGTGCCGGCGTGACCGTTTCCCGAGTTTGTGTCCTTCTTAAAACGGCATGGTTTACGACATTTTCTGGCTTCATCCCCGTAAGTGTTATGAAACCAGCACCATTCAGGGTTTTCCACCCTGTTGGGTTTCGTTTTAGGGCTACCACGCGACTTGCTGCGATGCGCCAAGGTGCGTTTCTGTGAAGTGCTACGTGATCTAGGACTTCGAGATCGTAGCAACCGTTTCACAGAGTTGCACAACTTGGTCACCTCTGAATCCTGGCGCTCTGGTTTGTCGCAGATAGAATATACGTTGGAGACGGGTCTGCTGGATATCTCCAGTATTTTATCTGCTGAGGCTGCCAGGTCGTCGAGTGGGACTGACTGCAGTGTCACCAACACGGTTTGCACCGGTTGTGGTAGTTTCGAGAGAAATAGTTCTCGGAAAAAACCATCGTTGAATGTTCGTGCGCCCATTACTTCTCGCATGCGTGCGAGGACTTCAGTAGCTGAGCAGCTGCCTAGCTCGATGTTGCGAAGTGATTCGTCTAGGCGTTGGCGTTTTGTCAGATCGCTTTCCTTCAAGAGTGAGGCTTTTAGAAGTGCATAAGGGTCACTTACTTCAGGATTAAACATGTTTGCTGTAACATACCTGTTTAATTCTCGCGGTAGTGACCGTATGACAGCAAGAAATCGAGATTGAGGATCTGAGACACCCTGTTCTCGAAAATCTGCCTCGGCATACAGAAACCATGTTTCTGCATTGTCTGGCCAATATGGCACGAGTTGGATTGTGTTCGTAGTCAGCTTAATACGAATAAGCTTGGGAGTGTGGTCGGACATGAGAAAGTATAGTAAATGGATATATAAATGTTATCGAAGTGAAAACAACAAACAAATATAAAATGGAACAGGCTCACCAATTCAATACTTGTTATTGGATGGGATATATGATCACGTCGGGCTCACCAATTTAGGATTTGTCCTGGTGCGAACTTGACAGACGCAAAGACCAATCAATAATTATTCGGACTTGTTATATACCCACGAATACGAGACCAAGGAAGAACACGATAGCGTACTCGGATGGAATAGTATATTTGGATGGTTGTGCCAAAACACCGATGCGTTCCAACTGACTGGCTAGAGAGTCGAATACGAGCAGTGCAACGTAACACGACAGCGTGCCAAATGGCGAGGATGCTTGACCGGGTGCCTTCAGCTTAGCGAGTCCAGTTAAACTGTCAAGGTCAGCACCAATGTCGAAAGTCGTCAAACCCTAGGCTATTGATTTTGGGGAAGTGTGTGACGCTACAGTATTACCTGCCGGAAATCCCATAACGTAACACACATTTTTACTGGAGCATAATAATAGTACTGATGAAGTGGTGGAAAATATTTTTGCCTCAGGTGGATTGTCTTGATCTTATTGTGTTCTCTGAGTTGGGCTACTTAATCATGGAGCTCTCACCCTATTTCTAGATCCAATCCAATATCCAATACTGAAAGCACGAGCGTAGAAAACCGGTAGTTTTTGATCTCTCGCTTCTAGTTCTTAGGGATCGTTTCGAACTGTTCGGTTCACTCCTGCAGTGTACGAGGAAATACCCTCTGCTTTCTTGCTTTTAGCTTCCGTGAGGTGGATGTTTTGTGGGTTATTAGGTTGTAATTTGTAGAGTGATTAGGGAGCTACGGGTTGCTGGGACGTTTAGAGAACTGTCGTGACTCCTTTCTGCGTAGGTACCCGGAAGAGAATAGTAGGGTAGTGGTGAAGCAATGAAGAGAGAATAAAAAAATAAAAAAGGAGGAAAAAAATAATGATATAGGGAAGAGAAAGGGGAAAGAGAAGTAAAGGAGGGGTGAAAAAAGAAATAAGTGAAAGTAAAGTATTTGGGGATTGCCCGAATGATCACGTGGGTTTGGTTCCCACAGAAGAACTAGTAGGCAATTTGGGTGTACTAAGGAGGGAGATAGTGAGTGGTAGTTAGGAGGGAGTTGGGGGCCAGTGAGGTTGGTGACTACCTGAGTACGTCCGTGGTAGTCCATGCGAGGTAACATAACTGCCTAATCGCCTCTTGAATGAGTCGACTGAGGGAGCCATAACGACGTGTCGCGGTAAGGCATTCCATCAAGCACATACACTTAGGGGGAAAAATTTGGAGCTGAGTATGGTGTTTGCTCTCTGGTATGCTACCTTAAGGGGGTTTCCTCGTGAAGACCTGGTCAGTGTCGTAGCGACTCGGTGTGGTTCTCACCGATAGTCTATGTGTTACCTCTAGTACACTGTGACTGATAGACTCAAGGATTATTTTCTTCCGTTGTATCCAGTGGTCATCTGTTGTGGGATAAATTCGGTCTACCGGCCACGATGCATCAATGAGATAGTCTCTCATGGTCTCGTAGTTGGCCTTGCCGTGGCAAGAGGTGTTGGGCATCTCCGGTTGCAGGGCGTCCGTAGTAATCATGGACAAGGTTATTACAGCGTAGTCACTGGGGCCAAGGAGAGGTTGGATGGAAAAGTCCCCAACAGGAAGTTCATCGTTCACCAGAACGTAGTCAGGGCGCGATGCATTTCCGTTAGGTCTTCAGCGTGTGGCATCACCCACCTTCTCTGAGAGGCCTGCAGTCTTAATTGCATTCTTCAGCTTCTGATTGAAGGATCTGATGTGTCCCCCATCCGTCTCGAGGAGGGTGCATGGGGTATCGAAGTCGCCGGCAAAGACTACAGGGTTGCAATTTGCAGAGGAAGTCGTTAAGATTGCCTTGAAGTCCATTTCCTTATGTGTAGGGGAGCCCGTGGGAGACCGATATATGACTCCGAGCAGATATTTGGTACGGTGGAGGGTGAAACAGCACCAGAGAGATCCTGAGAGCTGGGTTAAGGCGGTATCGCTAACCATCCTTACCTTTAACTGGATGCTTACTCAGAGAGCCACTCCCCCTGCTCTGAGCTCTCTGTCCCCGCGGAAGAGTTCCATGCCAGTAACATGCATCTCTTCGTCGGAGATGTCTGGCGAGAGCCAGGATTCAGTGATAAATATGATGTCAGGGTGTGTCCCCATCCCCGCTACTTTCCCTCTCAGCCCCTAACGTTGCTGTACATACATATTAGAGTGTGCCTGGTGAGAGGGGAGGGCTGGTTGTGTGGCTTTACAGGAGAAGCGTTTACGTGGTTGGGTCTAGAGTCGCCAGTCCTCACAGGACTGGCATCTCTCCGTTTTTTTGCATCTTAATTTCAACTTGGGTGAGGGCTGTGGCAGTGGGAGCTTCTTTACTCGACGTATCTGATTCACTGGTCGGTGCCTGCGTGACGACCACTGACTTCAGAGGTCTTGGTAGTTGCCGTCTTTCCTCTTGCCTCATGCTTCTAGGCTCACTTTCACACGTGCGTATTGGGCCATTACATTACACCATGTGGGAAGAAAGTCTGTGGGGGAGGCATGTGTGTCTAATCGGATGGTAAGCAGTCTGCGAGTGGGTATGGACTTCAAACGAGTTGACCTTGGCAGCCTACCGATGCTGTTGGCCGGTATACTGTCAGGACCAACCTTGGTTGTGAGCCAGTGTCATTGCTGGACGTCATGAAAGTACCGATCTTCAGCTGAGCAGTCACTTGACAGTTCTGGAATCCCATGTACAACCATAGTGTTGTTTCCGTTTGCATTTCCAACAGCTGATTTTCTTCCCCTCTCTCTTATTGATCATGGCTTGTCAGGCGTGGCCCAAATTTTGCAGTTGTTAATAACGTCCAGTTGGTGCGAGAGAATGAGGGTGCCTTTGGTCTCCTTGGTGGTGTTCAAGGACAGACGTAAAGGGGGTGGCCTATCCCAAGGTGCCCGTTTTCCGCAGGAACGGCAAAACAATGTTACGGGGAGAGGAGGGAGTCCAAGCATCTGACAGCAGTAGGTCCACATTCGGCTGTCAAACCGTTCTCTCTCGATCAACAATGAGTCTATCGATACATCGACGTTGAACAAGATGACCGAGTTAGCCCTACCGAGACTTGGACATGCTGTGGGCGGCATGCCTGACTTCCCAATGGGTTTGTTGTGTATTTCTACTGGTTGTTTCCAAGCCACAGAGTGTAGGATATTTGGGGTGGGTTTCGTGGACAGTCTAGCGGTTGGTGTCTTTAGCCATGCGCTTGACGTTATTCTAGGCTAGGAAGGAGGTGAGGAGATTTGACCTAATGTGTTACCCGCGCGTGGTGGCGTGTGCGCAACTGGATATCCTGTTCTTTTTCCAGGTCCCTTTGTATTATCCTTTAATGTTAACCCTACTTTATTCGAGGATGTTGGTAGCTTTTGCATGATGGAGTGCGGGCAGCTTCCTGCACTCTGAACATATGTGCCAGAACCATTCGCATTGTCGTCTCTGCATCAGCTCATAGCATGGCCGGGAGGCTTTGGTGTCGCAGTGGCAATGCACCCATCGGTGACATGGGTTGCATGCAAACGTCTCACCAACTACCGTAACAACTTTAGTGCGAACACTGCAGCCGTCAGGTGTCGTAACGCAGCCTTCTCACCATGAAGAAAGTGCTGCGGATTGTAGCGAACTGCATGCGGCTGCCTTATTCTTAAGCCTTTTACGCCACCTCCTCTTTCCAGGCATGGTTTGACCCTTGACCGGGGTACAACTAGTTTGTGACATGTTTGATGGCGACTGGAATTCTGGAAACACAAGTTGGCGGCTCCTTTAGAAGTTTGGTGTCCTGCCCTACCTCCGTTTGTCTGTGGGTACAGACTAGAGTGTTGTTTTGGGTGTTACTGTCCCTTTTAGTGGGCGACCGCGTTATACGTGTTAGAGCTTTATATCTAGCGTTTTGGGCAGACGTCACTATTACGTAAACTTCCTATGAAAATAAATATCTGACGGCAAAAAGGAGGTTGGAGACTGAATGCAGTAAAATGACAGAATATATAGAGGAAGACAATTTATGTTGGCTTACCTCCAGACACTTGTAACTTGCTCCTCTGCTCTTGACCAATGAGTTTAACCGTAAGCTCCAGATGGGTATGTAAAACCAGGAAAGATGTATCCTAGGGAATGGCCTCCGAGAAGAATCGAGAGCTAAGGCAGTTTGGCAGTTGAAACACCCAAGAACCACTGTTGGGAGGCAGATTGATCGGTTCAAATAAATAATGATGCCGGTTTTCAACTGTTGAGAAGTGAGTTGACGAATACGCAGCCATGAATTGCGTGCCGTAGTAGGAGTGCTGTAAACGTTCCATTTTTTAGAATGAGTATGCCAAGTGGGGGTTTTCCAACCTCAAAAATCCAAAAGCTGAGAGACGGGCAAAAACACGTCACTACTGAAGGAGCGCGTTGTAACGACAGTCCAAGCAAACGAATCTTTTAATTTTTAAGCTCTCATCTCTGAGTCCTGAGGCTCAGCTCTATTTGTTCCGTTGTACTTCTTCGAGGGTCGCAGAGGTCTTTACGTTCTTTCTGCCTATGGCTTTCAAGGTAGCGATTGTCTGTTTACAATATCCGTTTAACGGGCTTGTATAAACCAGTTGATTTCTTGCTCGCTTCTTGGTCTTGAGGAACGGTTCCAGGTCTTCGGTGGATCCAAATGCAGTAGATCTGGCCAGTCTTCTGCCACAGCTCCGGTACACAGAACAGGAGGATAATTGTTGGTTAGTTCGCCTTGGACTGTGTTATAGTTGGCTTCTTCAGATGTCGAGTTGCCAGACAGTTGTTCGGACCGGTTGTTAGAAAGAGTTGGGGACAGTGAAGAGGAAACCTTGAAAGTGTGTGTAAGGGTCAGAGAAAAGTGGACTAATGGAGTAGTCTACCTACACCGGAGTAAGAGATAAGGGGTGCAAAGTTATGAAGAACTTTACTTATGCCAGGCGGAAGCGGTGAAAAGAGCCCGAACGGCTGCAATAGAAGGAAAACTGGTTGTAGAGGTAAAGTAGCTGGGATGGCGTGACGGAGGTAGATTTTTTCTGCTTAGTTCGTATTCCAGCTACATGTGCGTAGACCATGGGTCTCTGGGTGACTATCTAGCCTTTTCTTGGGGCTTCTGACAGGTGGAGCGAAGACTACTTCTGCTGGTAGTGCATTGCGGTGCCCGCAGACTCGTTAGGAGAAGAACTATAAACGCACATGAGCTTTTGATCCTGTGTGGACAATTCTCTCAGGGTTTTCACGAGGATCACCACAGTGGCCACTCGGTAGTAATCCTTTGTTCGTGTGACTTAGGTTGCTCAGTATTTTTTAAGTCATTACCAAATAACCACGCAACCCCCAGTAGC